GGGCCCGCGAACCCCTCCCAGCCACGCGCGCCCGTCTCGTGGGGCGGCCGCTGTCCCTGGCGAGGGGACCACGTGGCGAGCAGGGAGGAACGGCCATGGTTTAGGGAAAATGAAGCGAGCTGGCGATTGCTTGGCTGAAGAGATCAGCAGCAACGGCCTTTGTCTGTGAGCAAGTCGGTGTCCAAGCTCTTGTCTGCCTGTCGCTTTGGAGGAGCCAGTTCTATGGGGGTGAGAATTCAGCTGCCTGCAATTGGGAATTACGGACACGTACCCGTGTGCCCAAAGTCACGAGCATCAGTAGACGCTTTTTAAAAAATTAACTCGGGGAGAAAAAAGGGGAAGCGGATAGAAATGACCATCAATTATAAATGAGGCTTTGCAAAAATCACAAAGGGAGAAGGAGGACATTGGCACCCAGCAGCGTCTGGAATAACAGACGGGAGTTTGTCTCTGCGGCGAACAACGGGGATCTCGACAGCGGTGTTTGCTGGTCGTGTGGGCAGGAGAGGCAGAAAAGGGAAGGCGTTTGCTGAAAATACTTCTGTCCTCTATTTAAAAAAAAGCAGAGGATGTTGTTATATCACAGCATGAGGAATAACTTGGTTCTGCTCCAGCAGAAATTTGGAGGTTTGTTAGGCAGCGATTATGAAATCAAGATCGTTGGGGTTTTGAGTCAGCAGGTCCGGTAATGGGCAAGCAAGTGCGTGGAGGGAGCTGGCCACGCGCTCTGCGCCCCCGCTGCTGGTTCTTCACGGGACTTGGGAAGTGGAGGACGTTCCTGGGAGGAAGGCGAGCGCGGTGCCAGGCAGGGCAGCACTGGGGACGACCCCGGGGAGAGGCGCCCTCCCAGCTTGGATGGCTCCCGAGCAAAACAGGCCCTGGAAAGGGGCTTGAGGTCGGAGCTCCAGGAGGGCAGCGAGGCTTGTATTGCACATGAGGTTCAGAGAACTGGGTCTGGCCAAAAGAACTCTTGATGGGCAATACAGGTAATAAAGTTGGTGTAGGTGTATGACTGTGTGTTTCATGGCAATTTAATGAAGAAACTGCCAGCATACCAAAAAATCACCATGGTGCACTCTGAAAGGATTAAAATCCAGCCAGCAGGCTTCTGAAAAAGAATTTATCACAAGCTAGGAGAAGCCCCAGCCGTCGGGGCTGCCATTGCAGGGCCTGTCCTCACCTCCCACCCGCGTGCTCGGCGCGGCCGCGTGCCCGCTGCTGCGGGGGTCTCTGGTCTTTGGCGCAGACCAGGGCACGGAGCCGGGAGCGCAGGAGAGAAGAGGCAGGCTGCCCGGGAGTGCGATGCTGCCAGGAGGGCGAACAAGCGGATGATAAGGGGAGGAATCGGATCAGATGCAAGCGCAGCGTGGGGGAAGCGGCAGAAACAGCCGACTTGAACCTGGCGAGGCGGGCGGGGGTACGGGAAGAAGTCCCTTGCAAGGCGGTGAAATGGCTTAGGCTGTCAGGTCAGGTTAAATCAGCAGTGCCAAGCAGGACCAGGTCCTGGAGCCGCGGCAGGCTGCTGAGCTCCTGCGGACGGGGGGGCGCCCCGCATCCCCCGGGATGGAGGCGTTGGGGGTCTGTGCAGCCCAGCAAACCCTGGGCTGAAGCCTCCGCTGGGGACTTCTGGCCGTGCAAAGGGGGACGTGTCTCCATCCTCCGCAGGGACGTTGCTGCTGTAGGTAAATTCACAGAGAAGCTGTGAAGACGTCGGTGAGCAAACCCTCCGTAAGCCGGGGCGAGCAGGGCTGCTGCGCCTCAACCCAGCTCGTCCCTGGCTCCCAGGGTCCCGCCAGCCGCCGCCGCTCCCACCCTGTGCCGCAAACTGGGTTTATGCCAAATCAGATTGTGTTTCACAGCCCGATTTAGCTCTGCTTCGTCCTTTTATGTTTTAGGGTTGAATTGCCAGAACTCCGCTGCCTCTGCCACAGTCCCCTGTGTTAAAGGCGATTCCGTGTCGATAGAGACGACCCACTCGCTGACTTTGGCCGATGAGCCTTCGTACAGACGCTCCTGCACGTGAGCTCACGACGCTGAAGTCTGCGGTTGCTTTGTGAAAACGGGCTCCTCCTAAGCTTCGGCCCCCTCCCTGCGGAGGGAGGGTCGTTCTTGGAGCGTAGAGTACTAAGCTGGGCTTCTTGCCTTCTGGAGGAGTGGTTTGCAGACGCCGGTGACAGAGAATTTAGGTGACAACGCCTCTGGCGTAACGCTTTGTAAATCCACAAAAGAAATATTCGCAGGCGTGGAGACACTCTTGGTGCACCCTGAGGTGAGGTCGTGGTGGCTGTTGGTGAGCAGACCGGTGCCTCCAAAGGCCGTGTTCTCGATCCAGACCGGGGGTTTGCAGATGTGCCAAGGTTTTGTCTTATTTAAGGCTTGTACGTGCGGGGAGGCGGATCAACCGGGAGCTGGATGCGCCCCGATCCCACGTTATCCCGGTGTCCTGACTCCTGTGCGTGGTTCTTCCTTTGGCCCCTTTTCCCCGTGGATCTGCAGTGACGTGGGATGCTCGGCCCCCGCTGCCTGCTGTCCTGCGGGGACGTGCCGGGGGTCCCTGCCTGGGCGGCAGCGATGCTCGGGCAGGGCTTGGGCAGGGC